ACACAAACCAGGTAACCTCTCTTGGCCTCAGACTGCCCAACTTGGTAGGAACCAATTGGATTAGAAACTCTTCAGAGCAATGTTTAACAATAAGCATCTTTAGTCTCTGAAGCACTTGACAAGATAGTCTCAAACAGTGTACTTCACCTGAAAGCACACAGCCTTATGCACAAACTCACCAGTGCATATCCACATTTCCGGAAAGGAGGGAAGGACTGAAAAGATATAGGAACCAAGCCATCATCAGATTCTTAAATAGCTCTGACCCTTCCTCCAAAAAGGGTAAGGGCAAGTGAACTGTGAGACTTCCTATCAAGGTTAACACCCACCCTTAAAACTAAAAAAGCCCCAAAAGTTTGCAATGAACAACTTTTATCTCAAGCTGCTCCGTTTGGCTGCGCGGGGGAAGCGGAGCGCCTCTGACGGGCAGATAAAACGAGACTGCCGCAACTTCCCCGCAGCGTCATCAGCTTGGGACTGACCACAGACACGAAGGGCGAGTGGACGTGAGCACGCAGAGGGACGACTGACCGCACTTGTAAATGCGCTGCTTTCCTGTCAAATGAGTCTGCAGGTCACATGCTGCTCAGAACAGTATGAACTTCAGTTTCTCTCTTTTAGACGGAGGTGACCAGAGAAAGCACCCTCCACAGGAGGATGACACAGAATGAATCTGTCTAAAAGTAAAAGCAGAGGGCAATGTCCACAGCGACAAGAGAAACCTCCTGGGTATTCCAAATCCCAGCTTAAGTGAAGCGGAGGGTCCCCCAAAAATAAATATATAAAAATAAAAAGGCACCATGCATCAGCCAAACGACTCAAAATGTGTAATGACTCCAGGTGTCCCTGGCAACCTCTGCTGCGTGAGACAGCGTCGCTGCATTCGCTGCATTCGCTGCAGCTGCGGGCTGGAACACACGCAGGCATGCTCGCTGCCCACGCCCTCATGCCACACGGCAACACCAAGGGCAGCACTTCCACTCAGATGTCAGACTCATGTGTTACGAATTTCGGTGAGGTTTTGTTTGTTTGCTCATTCTTTGTTTTTTTACTATGGACACCAAAATTTCAACTTTTGACAGAACCGCAACGCCTTGGTACGGCACGAGGCTCGGTGGGAAAAAGCGCCTGTCGCCACGCCTGATAACCTGAGCGTGACTCCTGAAGCCAGGTGAAGGCGAGAGCAGACCCAGCGCTAACCTCCGCGCGTCGTTCGCTGCCCCTCGCACACACGAATGAATGTTTGGGTTTGTTTTTAAATAATAGTTTAATGCTGGGAAACAAAAGCTTTCCGTGTTTTCCCACCCCACCCCTCAGCGTGTATTAAAAACTAGTACCCCAGGCTTGGCTTGCGTTAGAATGTCTGATTCTAAAAATTGATGTCCAAGTCGCTGGCTTGAGTTTTAGAAAATGTTCAGTGAATGTGACTTGGGATTACCTTAGGATTCTCAGTAATTTCTGAAACAGTCCTGAACATCTTTCTGCCACTTTACACCACTTATCTAGGCTGAAGTGGCATTCTCACTCAGCCTCGACAATTAGAAAGTCAAAGCGTCGATCAGCCCTGAACAATTCTGCGGAGGCCCTGTGTCCCGCACAGTCCCGCAAGGTCAAACATCCAGCCAATTCTAATGTAAAATAAACAAACAAGAACTTCACCTGGCTCATTAGCCAGTTTACTTTCCTCTTTAGTGACGGGTAAAATTAGATGTATACTAAAGAATTACCTTTAAATAAATTTAAGATGTTTTCCTATTTAATTTATTTAAGGAGGTCAGAGGCAACTTGTGAGAGTCAGTTCTCTCCTTGTGCCATGTAGGTTCAAGAATCAAACTCAGGTCATCAACCTTTAGCAACGTGTATTTCATAACGATTTACCATCAGTAGGTATTTGATTCTTAGACCTACTTCATATACCTGTGTGCTTAGAACCACAGAACAATTTCCTGGGTATGAAGAGAGCTTGGGAGGAAAAAAAAAGTTTAAGAAGCCCCTTCTAAACAGAAAACAGACAGAATGAGGCTCAGGGCAGATTTGCTTGATTCATATCCCCGCTTAGGCGGTAAGTCATAACGCCTCGCCAGCTGTGCCTCAGTTTCCCCACCTGTAAGGTGGGGGTAACAATCTTCTGGGGGTTGCAGGCTTAAATGAGTTATAATCACCATAAACAAATCCTGGCACTCAGCAAACACTCAGAAAGAAAAAACCAGCTACAATAATTTCCATCCCCCTAGTGCTCTAAACCGTGAACACGCACGACGAGTAATACCTGCTCAAAAGCCAACTTCATCCGGTGATTTTCAGCCGCCATTCCAAATGGCCTTTCCGAAGAACAGCCGTTTGTACAGAGGACGGTCCTGGGTCACCCCCGGATGAGTCTACAACTTTCTGTGAGGGCACAACTATCCCATGCACATTCCACTCAACGCAGCAGCCACGCACGACTACGTGAAATGTGGGTGATGGACAGCATTGTATCCTAAATTACGATTAGCTATGCAGACAAGGCTATTTCTACGCTATCAGACAGACAGCATGTCTAAACGGAACACTTTTTTTTTTTTTTTTTTTTTTTTACCAGAACTTAAGCAAAAGCGGGTTCTCCCCACCCCGAGTGGCTATTAGGTCTTCAGTGAAAGCCTGGTGACTCTGACCTGTTAAAGCTACAACACGCTGACTCACTTATCAACACAGCACAAGCTCACAGCTAATAAATGGTCAGAAACAAAGACGTGGTCCTCTGATATTTCAGAGGATCCAGAGGCCAAGTTAAGTTCACGCTGTCATAAGCACGGCTTGATGCGCAAGGCAGAACCGCAAAGGTCCCCACCATCAAAGCATCGGGTGAAAAGCTGCATCTTTCAGGAGATGCAGCCGCTGCCATGCAGTCTCTTCCCGACCCCAGACACCACAGCTCAGAACCCGTCCCCTCTTAGAAACACTGAGGTTCTTGACCATGCCCCTTCCCATTATAAACAAAATCCATGCACCACCCATATCTGCAGCATAACACCAGACTGTTGCTGAGCTGCCCCTAGAATACGGTTTAATTACGATGACTGAACTAATAGGCTGACATCATAGACTTTTACAGGCTGGCCCCTGTCATCCTGATGTATCATTTTGCACCAGTTCAGTGCTGTAAATCAATTTAAGATCTCAAGCCGGTTGAAAAGGCTGGTAATGATGCTCTCCCTGCCTCCCTGGAGACTCTACATTATACACAACTTACATTATTTATAAAGTCTCGGAGATGCCTCCATTAGCCTTGTAGGACCACACAAATGAGATCTTTTATACACACACAACTTGGCCTTGATTATGTAGGCGACTGCAGCTTAAATATGCCCGTGTAATTACAGCGGGGTTTACTCTGCTTCCAATCTACCGCGTTACTGCATTTCACCCTGAGCCCAGAACCGCTGGAAAAATTCAGTTTTTAACTAATATGTAGAGCTGGGGAACCAAGATTTGCTTCCCCTTAGTGCTCAAAGGAACTTAACAGAAAAGGAATTTAAATTTGAGGACTAACATGAGTTTAGCATTTTTAATTGCCAAAAATAAACAAACCTCTCATTCCTCCAAAATGTAAAGGCCACCATCTCTCCAAAAATACAAAACTAGAGGGTGCTGCTAGAGGAGGAACGTATCTGGTTACTACCTATGGTTGCAGGGGTCAAAGCTAAATCAAGGACAAACCCCTATCCACTGAAGAAACCTGAGAGTCCGAGGGAGCCTCTGGGGTCCCCACTCCCAGGAAAGTCAACTCTCCAAACCCTGGTTTACTGTTTCCTAAAAAATGCAGCATTAGAACAAATGGCACCCCATCCTCACAGAAACACATGTAACTGAAAACGAGAAAGGCAGGGACGGGAAGGGCGACAGTGCTGGCTACTCAGGCCTGGCACCTACAGGGTAAGAACGCTGCCGCAAAAATATCTGCACCAACTGAGAACACCGCCTCCGCCTCGACTCTCCGCGAACTGTCCCGGCACAGCTCACCTGCTTCCGGTACAACCTCAAGTGGTAATTATAAACAAGATGAAAACCGAACCCGGCCGGGGAACAGCTTTCTCATTGTGCTGCGCTGTGGGCACGCCATCCGCCGCAGGCAGGCCCTCGGAGGGAGGGATGTTGGAAAGGGCACGCCGTGATTTCGCTCCAGCAACAGGAAGACGTTACATAAACCGAGCAACTCCTCTGAAAACTTGAGATGTCACCCAGGGACCCGAAGAGGGGAGGGGGTGGCCAAGCGCGGTCCACAGCGACGCTCTCCCGGACGGCCGCGGCCCGGTTCGCCCTCGGCGGGGCCGTTTGGTGCGGGGCATCCAGAAGCGCTGCATGCACCTCCGAGTAAACAAAAGCCGCGCCCGCCGCAGGGTCGGACGCGGCCGGCGACGGGTCCTCGCGGGGCCGCCGTCCGCCGCAGCCCCGTTCGCGGTGCGCCCCGCGGCCGCGCAGGCCCGCGCTCTCACGCCCACCGCCCCCGCCCGAGACGGGACACTAACAAAGACGGCCGGGGCGAGAACAGTTGTTCCCGGCGCTCGCGGCGCGCGGGGAGGCAGCCGACTCCGGCCCAGGGAGCGGAGCGAGGCCGCCGGAGGGAACCCCCGAGGCGGGCTGCGCGGGGACCCCGCGGGGCGCGCTCCGCCCGGGGAGAGCTCGCTGCGCGCGGCGCGGCCCCCGGGGGTCTGCGGGCCCGGCGGGGACACAATGGGCCGCGGCGGGACGGGGGTCCCCGGAGAGCCGGACACGCCCGACGAGGGCGCGGGGAGACGGAGCGGCGGTCGGGGGGGGGGTTCGGGGTCGGGGGGCCCCCCCGGGGGGGGGGGGAGATCCGCGCCCCGGGGCCCCCCCGGGACTGCCCCCGGCGCGGGTCCGTGAGCCCGTCCCGCATGCGCCCCGGAGCCCGCCCGGGGTCCCCCGGACCCGATCCCTGCCCCGGAGCGCCGCGCGCCGCACGGGTCCCCCCCGCGGGGCTCGGGAACGGGCGGCTTTACCGGCTCGGCGGTGCGCCCATCGGCGGGGACGCACGAGCCCGGGCGCCGGGTCCCGCGCTCCGCTGCTCCCGGCTCCGCGGCTCCGCGGCCCTGGCCTCCGCCGCCGCGCGCCCGCTCGCTCCCGGCGCCTGGATCGATCTGGTCGCGCTGGCGTCAGGCAGTCGGAACCGCCCAGCCTCCGCGGCCCGCCTGCCAATACCCGGCCCGCAGCCCGCCCGCCGCTCGCCCTCGCTCGCACGCGCACCGCGCGCGCCCGCCGCCGCCTAGGGATCCTCTCCAAATTCCCGGCCCCAGCCCGCCTCCGACTCTGCAGTCCCTGCTCGCTGCCAGTCAAGCTCCAAAGCCAACATTGTCTTCTGAAACGTTCCGAACGCCACCACCGGGCCCACCCAGCCGTGAAAGTCGCCTTTTAAGGGCCCTGCAAGCACTGAGCCGCTGATTTACAGGCCCTCCTGGTGGCACGAGCCCCAAGACCTGTTAACTGTTGTTAACTGTTGACACCAATCTCGCACTAGGTAGATGCGTTTGTTTCCAGTGCGCACCCTTGCTGCATCAAATGACGGAAGCCATTTGTGTGCTTGATACGCGGGCCCTTGTAGCCCAGGATGACCTCGAATTCGCTTTTTAGGGGGAAAAGACTTTTCTGTTGCTCCAGCCTCCATATCCTAAGTGCTGGGATTACGTGTCTGCAGTACCACCTACTTTTATTTATTAATGGAAGATTCTGGGAATCAAACCCATGGCCCTTTGCATGCTGAGCAAGCACTTTACAACTTCACCCCGGCCCCTTTGTGTGCTTGCTTGGGGACAGGGTCTGTCAGTATATCCCAGGCTGGCCTTGAACTGGGAAATATACTTTTATTACTGTAAATTTTTGATGCAGTCTTTTAGACGTCATAGTCTTACCTCTAGTCCCATTCCCACCCCCTGCAATACAAACAAACAAACAACCACACAGAAATAAGCTCACATCTTCCTGATCTGTTTGGTTAAGGGCACTGACTGCTCTTACAGAGGACCAGGTTCAAATCCCAGCACCCACATGGCGGCTCACAACTGTCTCTAACTCCAAGGTTTGACACTCTCACGTAGACCTACATGCAGACGAAACACCAATCATGAAACAGATGTAAATAATTGTTTTTTAAATCAGCTTTTTCTTGGTCAGTTCCTGGAAGCTGGCATGAAATCTTGGACGATTACCATAATGTTGAGTTATGTTCAGTGAAGAACTATTGTAGGAGTAAATGCCCCACAAACCAAAAGAAGAAAAAAATCATTACCAGCAATATAAGGAAATACCGAAGGCCACTACAAATTAATGATACTCTCCATTTATTCCTGTACCTTTACATGCCTAGCATTCCACTTAAAATTCTTATCAATTATTTAAGTATTATATCTGTATTCCATATTTAATTATTCAAAGGAAATGCAACAAATCCCATAAACCCATAAAATGCCATTTATAAATTATACAGAAGAATATTCTGCTAATTAAATTCCTTTCTTCATTAAACTATTTGAGCACTTACTGGTCAATTCTTGGATCTCCTCTTATTTTCCTTAAAAGCAGTATTTGACATAGTTGGTTATTCTCTGGTCCTTCGTGCAGCAGCTGGGGTGAGCCTGGCCTAATGACACTCAGAGTCATTCCCCTACCCTCTACAGACCCTCTTTTGATGAAGAGAATGAGCCATATCCATACACGGAGCATTATTCAGCCATAGAAAAGGAATGGAGCACTTCTCATTTCTCCCCAAATGGAGTGAGAACCTGGGCTTGATCCTCGGTGCCGAATAAAGCGGATGGGATAGTGCTTGCCTGTAATCTCAGCGCTGTGGAGGCTGGAGCAGGACCAAAAGTTTAAGGCTGTATAGTAACTCCAAGTCCACCATGGCCTGCGAGAGACCTAGCTCAAAAACAAAATAAAAGCAACCAAACAACAGGCACTCTTCCAAATGAAAAAAGAAAGACGGAGTTGTGTTTGCTTTATTCACGGGAGGTGTGCCTAGTAGACAAATCCATAGGGACAGGAAGTTGCCTGGGACCGAGTGTTGAGGTGCAGGATTGAGTGATGAAAGGGTTCATGGTGGTAAACGGATTCTAAAGTAAGATTAATAATAGAGGGTGATAGTTACACAACTGTGTGGATATAGTAAAAGCCAAAGAATTCTATATTTTGAATGACTGCATTGCACGATTTGTGAATTTTATCTCAGTACAGTTGTTTTTTTTTTTTAAAAAGGCAACAACTAAAGGCAGTGCATAGTTCTTATTTAAGTCCTAAAGGGAGGGCTAGAGGGATGGCTTAGGAATTGAGAGCACAGACTACTCTTCCGGAGGACATGGTTCAACTCCCAGCACCCACACAGCAGCTCACAACTGTATCTCCAGTTCCAGGGGGTCCAACACTCTCTTCTGGCCTCCGAGGGCACCAGGCACGCACAGGATACACAGACACACACGCAGGTAAAACACCCATACACGGATAGTAAAAATAAATAAATTCCTACAGGGGAGATACACAGTGTCATTATATAACTGTTCATTAAAATAATTTATAAAACTGCAGATGGCCTTTCTTACTGTGCTCCTAGTATGTCTAAATGATAATTACTAATATTATACACACTATAAATTGTTATTTTACTTTGTGCGAGTTATTTCTTTAGGTGGTAATAAAAAATTGGATACTCCTTCAAAAAAAGGCATTTTGAGACAGTTGTAAATTCTGACCAACCTCACTATTAAAGTCGTTTTATTTATTTATTTTTTAAAGCCTGGATTCCCACTCCACTCTGAATAACAGTCTTACCTTGTGGAGGGGCCAAGCATGATCTATCTTCCCTGCCATCTCTTCCTACCCCAGCCTGGTTCTCTTCAAGTCATCCTGGCCTCCTCTGTTTTCCAGAACAGTTTGGATACAGCTCCACCTCAGTTCTGATGGATTGACCTTACCTCCTTGGGGAGCCCCTTCCCAGGCATGTCCACGAGGCTTTCCTACCCCACGTCTTCACTCCAGGCATGTTTCAATGAGGCCTTCCCCGTCAATATCTGAAACTCCTGCTATTCCGCAATCCCACACCATGTCTTCTCTCCTCACTTGTCAATATCTGAATTGGTCATCCTCCTAGTACTGTAATGAATATCTTAGCTAATCAGAGAAGGACCCAAGGTGAGCTCCTGGTTTTGTTGTTTGGGCTTTTGTTTGTTTGGTTTGATCTTTTTGCCTCCCTTCCTCCGTGCCACCAGAGCCTAGCTTCTCCGGCCTTTCAGTGTGGACTAAAAACCAATGCAGACCTTCAGCAACAGACTGGCACTACTGAGGCATCCAGCCTTGTGGACTGGCAGCTACTGAACTCTCTGTCATGCTTATGACCATGGTTGGATTACCAAGCCCTTTATGTAAGGCAATCTAACACATTCCTTCCATAACATATATTCATCCTATTCCATTCTTCTAGAAAACCTTGACTAACACAGAGGAAAGGGTGAGTCTGCCTCGCAGAGTCAGGGAAGAGCAGAAGCCGAGAGAAGCAAGGGCTGGGAGGGAAAGCAGGGAGGTCCAGCTGCACAAGGCTGATGGCTGCCCGGGTGGGAGGTCCAGGGACTTCCTGTTCTCTGTGAGTTTTCCCAGGACTGCTTGCTGAGAATGGAAGAGGGTGGCCAGGAGGCTAGAGGGTGGAAGAGAGAAATGAGTTCTAAACAGTCATCTCCTGGGAGTCGGGAAGCACAGGAAGTACAAAGTGTGGCGTGAGTGCCAGGCCACAGCGCTAAATGCCCATTTGAGGTTAGCAATCCTAACGCTTGAAGTAAGCCCTGTCAGTCAGGTCCAGTTGACTGAGAGAGGCCAAGCTGAGCTCCACCAGAGCTGCGGCTTTGGAGCTGAGCACAGTGGAGAGAATAAAAGAGCCAGACACTAGAGGGCATAAACAAGGGAGTGACCACAAGAAACTGGGTGGCAGGGGACAAGGAGAGATCATCGAATGTTGGGAAGATGGCAGGGTCAGTGGTTGGTAGTCTCTGGTGGCGTTTGTGAGTTTCTAGAGTCCAGGGGCATTCCCAGAGCTGGATAGCAGTTTGAGAAAGGGGAGCTTGGTGACGTGGTAGTCTGAATGTAATTGGCCCATGTGGGCCTATAAGGAGTGGCACCATCAGGAGGTGTGGCTTTTGGAGTGGGTGTGGCTTTGTTGGAGGAAGTGTGTCACTGTAGGGGTGGGCTTTGAGGTCTTATATGCTGAAGACACTCTCAATATCTCCAGCACCGTGTCTGCCCGAATGCTGCCAGGCTTCCCGCCATGAGGATAACGGCCCAAGCCTCTGAAACTCGAAGCCAGCCCCAGGGAAATGTCCTGTGGAAGAACGGCAGTGGTCATGGTGTCTCTTCACAACAGTAAAACCCCAACAAGTGGACAGAGCTCACTAAGCATGAGGGCACAGGACTGAACCCCGGAAACATCTGGTCTCAGTCTCAAGCCATCCTCGTGATCCATATATGATACCAGAACCTTCTGAGTGACGGTTTGTGAGGAGGGTGATGAGGAGGGTGTTGACTGGCATTGTTTCTAGCCTTTTACACAAGTTATTAGCCTTTTAATCCCCCAAAACAACACAGAAGTTGGCTCGGCAGTTAAGAGCACATGCTATCTTTGCAGAGCACCTGAGTCTGGCTGCCAGCACCCACATTGGGTAGCGTCCATCTTCCTGTACCTCCATCTCCAGGGGATCTGATGCCCTAACTGGCCCCCACAAATGCCTACACTCATGTGCTCATGCCCTCCCACATACAGACACATGATTAACTATAAACTGTACCTTTTTAGTATGGATGACATTATTTCCGTTTTGTAGATGAGCTAATGTGCCAGCTGCTACGTGACTCGCTGCTGGTCACACCACAGTGTGTTGATGCCTTTCTGGTACTCAGCACGGCCTCTACCTGGAGCCTACACACAACAGGTAGGCCGCATTACTTTCCCGGATCTTCACAGTGCTGTGCTGAGAATAGTTTCTGTCTCCAAGCCATGAATTTTAGGCAAGCTCATATCAACAGAACAATGAATTTTTGAAGGCGACTTTTTGTTTTTGTTTTAATTTTCAATAGTTTTGCTTCCAGTAGCAATGTCCCTTTGGTAGGTCTGTGTCCACTGACATGCTAAAAGAGTGACTTT